AAAACAAAAATTTTTTTTTGACTCCCTTTATAAGCTTATGTGACATTAATTTTTAGTCCAATCATATACTAAATCAACTTTTATTTCATATAAAACGACGATTTAATTTTAAATATTCTTTATATTGTTAAAAATTCAAAATAAAAATAAAAATTAGCCTTGAAATTGGCTTTTAAAAAATATTTTCACGGTACGAATATCATGCATGCATAAATTTGATTAAGCACAAGCATAAAATACTAATCCAAATTCGCGATAGAGTTTTGGTGGATTAAAAACTATTCAATCAGACGGGCTTGTTCCATGACCGAGTTACAAACCCGGCGTCTCAGCGGCAATCATGTCGGCTCAACACTTGATAGATGAATTCAATTCACGTTAAAGCGTCTCCCTATCCCCTATCTCCTATCTTACATCTCCTGTCTGCTATCTGGTATCTGTTATCTGGAGCCTTATCAAAAGACTCGCATTTACAAGCACACTCCTCGCGGAAGAAGTTAATGATCCTATTCTGTCATCAATCAATTTAATAATTTAAAAGTGACAACCTGAAAAGGAATACCTTCAAAATTTTCCAGATATTTTTGCTGCAAACCCGATTATTATTATTATTATCATCACTCGGCAGAACTTACAGCGGTCTTATCGCGGCTGTAAATTAAAGACCAGCTCACAGCGCAGTAATTTACTCGTAATAGAGTCCAGAGTCTCTACTGGTGGGACAACGGTCACGTACGCACATAAGTTGTTAACTTATCACCGGGCATTAGATCTAACGTTGCAATCCGGGGCATATCGTAGGCTTCCAGCCCGCTTGCTCGGCTAATCTACCGGCCTATGCATATCCATATGACGGCTATCCATATCGGCATTGTGTCTATCTGTCTCCAGCGAAAATGGGCGCTGTTAATCGCCAGCGAAATGCACTACGCTAAATTTTCTTAGCTGGTCGCTGTTAAACCTTTTCCCCGTACTTTGCATTGCTAATAATCTCGAATGAAATTATGTTATTTTATTTATGCAGTACTTGGCTCTTGATATTGATCCACATTAACTGTTTATTTTTTTTTTTTTAATAGTAAATTAAATTTTATAAGTTAGAATATTTATTTTTCATAAAAAAACTAACTTAAATAAATTAATGTGTTGATTTTTAACAAGAAATTGAATTAATAAATTATTCAATGTGTTAATTTTATATCAATAAATTAATTTTAATGAATTAATTTTGTTAGAAAATTATATTTAATTATTGAAAGTAAATTTTTAACTTCCTGCTAAAAAAATCGGAAAATTATTGTTTTATCCCGTCTTGCAAAAATCGAGATTATAACAGAAGATAAATTTTTTTCAAATGATTATTAGATACCAATTTAATTGTTTTTACATCCTCTAAAAGGTTCTAAAGCCACACTGTTGATTAGTTAATTTTTTTTTTTAATTTAAAATTTTTAAATTTACATCCTCGCTATTAGACGCCATGTAATTCTAGTAATCAATTTTTTATAAAAAAATTTGACATTAGGTATTTTAATGTGTTAATTTTTTCTCAAAAAAATTATTTTATCACGTTGATGAGTTAATTTTTATTAAAAACTCAAATTAAATTACCTAATGTGTTAATTTTCCTTGAAAAATTCATTTTAGTAAGTTAAAATATTAATTTTTGATGAAAATTTCACTTGGATTTTTTTGTGTTAATTTTTTATTAAAAAAATTAAAATTCAATGATAAAAAACATTAATTTATATCAAAAATTAAATTAAGCTTGTCAGTATACATTAATTTTCTATCAATAACTCAAATTTACTGATTAAATATAATATTTTTTTCCAAAAAATCCAATATTACAATTAATAAAATTTTTTTAAATATAAAATCGAATTAATTAAGCTTCTCTTATAAATAAAATCCATCAAAAAAATCAATTAAAAACCTTTTTAAAAACTTCAACCTGAAGTGAAGTATTATTTAAAAACCAACTATCAAAATGCTCAAAGCCGGCTGATTAAATTTGAATAGCCAACGGAGTATTCTTAACAAACCGAGAGCCGCAACTCTCGTAAATAAGAATTTTAATGGTAGATTTAATGAAAAGATGAGAAATGTCCAATGATGTCTACAATGTATTCTGCGACTGTAGGCTCTAGTGACACATTTAAGCAACGAGGTCGTCGTCATTAGCCAGTCAGAGTCGGGTAGATAGCAGAGTGTGGGGGAGGGAAAGTGTGCGGATCGATTAAACAAATGTGCTTGACCCGACGATGATGATAATGAATGAAAATCTGCCGCTTCCTGATTCTCAAACAGTTTACCACTTTTCGCGGTTGGAAAATATGATTGATGTCAGATCAGAGGCTTCCCGGGTCGGGGATTGTTTGCCGACCCATCGACCCACTGCTTATAAATTCATTAGGGGTGTTAATCTAAATTTATAATTTTTTATTTATAATTCAGGGAAAGCATTACTTAGGGAGATGCTATATACTTTCTCGGCGAGGCATAAAAAGTCCCCGGAATATATTTATATGTGTGAGTGTAAAAGATGACAATGGTGAGGTTCTATCAGCGACCTCATTTTACTGGTTATAAAGTACGGAAAGCTGACAAACGTACACGACAACGTACTTGAGAATAGAAAGAGGGTTTATGCCAGAGGGAATAGGAAAGGACCTATACTGTGGTCCGCTTCTGAGTTTCTCAGGAATAGTCCTTACTCACTGAGAAGCGTTACGCCTGAAGATGAGGCTACAGCTGGAGGAAGAAAAAGAGGAGTGCATTCAACATGCCGCGACCTTATTCTTATTCTCATTCTCATTCTTACTTTTACTCTTACTTGTTATCTTTATTGAGGGAAACAACTTTACAACAGGTGATCCTTAGTTTATTTTCCTTTTTAAAACTCTCCGGAGACTCTATTTTAACTTATTTTCCGACAAGCTGATACTAAATATTACCAACTTTTCTTGGAAAGTCACCGCGAATTAATACGGACGAACAACTCACACCTGCTGAGCTCATTTTATCAGTTTTGTGTAAATAAAGTTTTATTTTAACATTTTTCTTTATAATTTGCATTAAAAAAATTCGGAATGATTTTTTAATTTAGTTTAAATACTTAGAAAATTTATAAAAAATAGATTTAAATTAATAAAATATTTGATTTAATTAAAAAAAAAATCTATAACCAAAAAAATTAATTTTAAAAAACTGAAATTAATTTATTAAATTATGTTCTTGGTTCAGAAAAATTTTTTTTAAAGTAAATTTTATATTTTTTCAATATATGAAGACTAAAGAAGCCATTTGTAATTTTTTAGCCAATTAGTTTCAAAAAATTCCAACAGGTGGCGCATAATTGCAGAATCTTCTCACTACTAAAGAGTTAATTTCTAAGTTTTTTAATATAAAATTAAAATTATTATTAGAATCTTATAAAAAGCTTATTTTTCATTCATTTTTAGTATAATTTAATGTAAAAATTATTAATACAAGATTAATTACAACTAAATTAAATAAAAATTGACTTAACAAAACAAATTAAATTTTTTAAAGTCATAATTTTAATTTAATAATTTTTTTCTCACATAAAATTTCATATTTTTGGATATATATAACCTAAGAAAGCCATATATAATTTTTTTAAGCATTTAGTTTTGGATAATTCCAATAGGTGGCGCATAGTCGCTAAATCTTCTCGCTGTAAGAGATTTAATTTCTAAATATTTAAATTTAAAATAAAAATTTTTATTAAACTCTCTTAAAAAGGTTATTTATTGTTTATAAAACGTATAAATATAATAATAAAAGATAAATTACAACTAAATTGAACAGAAATTGATTCTAAAACATTCAAAAAAAAAAAAATAACAAGTTGACTAGCATCCATAATTCAAAAGTAATGACACAATTAAGCCATAGGGAAACACTAGATCAAAACGAAACCGCGGCTTTGTTTCAACAATAGTTACCGACAATTAAATTATAACCATTATTATCTCGGCTGTAGCAGGTACAGGACAATGATTACTTTCGGAACAAACTGCCCGGCCTACAAATACGATCCCACCTTCCCTTTCTCTTTGCTCAGTCCAATATTTAACAAACTCAATACTCGATACTCAGCAATTCCGTCGTTAGAACGCTCACACGCCCACACATGCGCTCTTATTGCAATAACACTCGTACATGTTATGTGTACAGTCATCGAGTTCTGGGATAATTCCATCGGGTTCCTTTATTTACCCAATCATCACGAGCCTTTCAATCGATTTTATTATTCCCGTCCCAAAGGAAATTAGTCGGCATGCCGAGTTGACCTTATTCATCCTATCCGTGCTCCGGCGCACTCTGTTATCCTTTCATGTGTTAATTCAATTTAACATATGTCTTTCTCTATTCTGTATTATTCATTTATTTCGTTTCATGCAAACAAATGCAAGCAATCTCTTTAATTATGCTCCTTCGTTGTTCGTGCTGTCAAAAATTAAGTAGTTTTTCTTTTTAATCACTTACAATATATTTTTAAGCTTAGAGTTTCGAATTTTCAGAATTAAGCTTTAGACCTTTGAAATTTCTTAACTCAAACTTTTCAACTTTCAAACTTAAGATTTAAGCGTTGACTTTTCTTAACTTTTAGCGCGTCAGTTTTCTTCATTTCAAAACAAACTTACTGGAATTTTGTAAATTTTTTTTTTTAAGAAAATAAATTTATAAAAATTCAAGAAAAAATACAATCTAAAAATTATTATTAAAAAAAAACCAAATTATTTTTTTTAAGCAATTCATTTATTTATTGCCTTTTATTTAAACCTTTATTTAAATGTAATAAAAAATATAATAATACCAAAAAAACCAGGTCAAAAAATTTTCTAATTCTTGTATTTTAAAATAAAACTGCATACATCTTAAAATAATTTATAAATTATTAAAATATATTTAAAAAAATTTTTTTTCCTTACAATAAAAATAAAAAATCAAAATTTATCAAGAAAATCAATTTAATTTAACAAATGTTCCAAATCATAATCATGATCATCAATCCCGCGCTTTCTTTTGGCGCTGCGTTCAACTTCCATGTCAACAGATGGCGCCTCTGCTTTAACAATGACTCCATCATCAATTTGAGATTTACCAGCTCCCACTCCCGCGCTCTTAACCTCACTATTAACAGAACTAGCACTAGAAAATTTAATAACCGGCTTAAAAGTCATCGCCGAAGGATTCTTCTGAACTGTCGGTCTTCTGGCACTCACAGGTTTAGCTCCAACCCCAGATTTTCCACTGACTCCCAAACTTTTACCCGCGCTTCTGTTGACAGTTTGCGGAAGCTGCCCACTGATTCCAGGCTTTAATTTATAATTAACCGCAGTAGAACAGTAACGATCCGCTGGTAGCCGCAATCCGTCCTTTGGCTTGACGAATTCCAGAGGGACGCTGTTGTGAACTCTGGCCAGCTCCTTCAAAGAGGAGGTCGTCATCGGACCGACCCTCACGTCACACACTTCGGATTTCATATTTAACGCGAGACTGATGTCAGAACCATCCAAGAATTTTTTATTAGCGTGTTTTGCGAAGACTTTTCCATCCTCGATCACTCCCGTCGCGTTTCGGTAGACAAATTCCAGCAGCTGCTGGATCACAGATGGGTCGTAGTCCTCGATGCCCATGCTCTTGATAATTGACTCGATAATCACAGCCATTTGTGGATTTTTTCCGACTTCCATTTTTTTTTAAAAAAAGAAAAACTGTACATTAATTTACTGAACTGTTTGCTGGAAGTGTCTGAGGCTTATATTAATATAATGCTTAGAAATGGGAAATTCGGGCCTATGGAAGACTTCTCCCCTCCCTAAGACCCTTCGGGTCAGGTACAGTCTGCTAACTAAGCAGCTATTGTGTTTTTCTTTCTATATTTTTATGTTTATTGCTTCTGATCCGGGCTCGAGTGCATTAATGATTATTTTAGTATACTTGTTACTACTCAAGGTCATTAAAATGTAATTAAGTGATTTAAATTACGAGCCATAGTAAGGAGTAATAAGTCATACCTGGCTTAAGATCAAATTCTTAAGATAGTTTTATTATTATTGTTTGGTTAAATAATTTTGTATTTAAATTGAAGTTGTTTGGAATTTTTAAGTGTTAAAATATTTTTAAACTTACTTTGAACAGATGGAAGAAAATAGATTTTAGAGAGGGATAATAAATTGTTTAAAGGACATATTGTCGAAATGTATGAATGTGAATTGAAAAGAAAAGGGGACACTCAGGTAGATAAATATTGAGTGGTGAATTTGTGACTAGTAACTTTTGAGAAAAAAATAAATTTGCTTACAAAATTTAAGATTTAAATAAGTATTTATTGATTTATTATTACAAAATTATTTAATTAAAATTTTTCACTTTTATTTAAAATTAATTGTTGTAAATCGACGGTCTAATTAGCAATTCTCTCCTTATTTTTAAGAGGGTGATTTTTTAACATTTTGATGTAGCAATCGTCCAATTATAAATTATTTGAATGATTCAAACCAAAATATTATACCTTTATAAGATATTAATGATCTTAAATTTTAAAAGTGATAAATTTTGGATTAATTGTTTCTTTTCGCACAAATGGAGTTAAAAAATTTGCCAATTAGAACGTCGAAATAATAAAATTATTAATTAATTTTTTTCTAATGCAAGAATTAAATTATTGTAATTAATTTTTATTTTAAATTTAATTTTTTAACTTTTATATTTATTAATTCTTTTTTTAAATTAATTATAAACTTTAAGAGAAGTATTATTTATTAAAATTTTTTTAAGTAGGGGTTTAAAAAAATTAAATTGGTTAAATTGATGAAATAATAAATTTTTTAATAGTTTTTAATGAAAAAAGGAAATTTTTAAAGTTAAGCAACCATAAAGTTAAGCCCTCCATTGCTGAAGCCGAATTATATTTCTGTAAAGTAGGATTTCCCTGGTAAAATCATCTATTTGCAATTCATTACTGCTTTACTCCATTCAATTACATAAAGCTGCATTACATTTACTTTGATATTAATGCACCAACTATCTGGATCCAGGTTACAGAAATTTACAAATTTCTGAGTGAAACAAAAGATTACAAGATTTCTGAGTGAAACAAAAGATTACAAAATAATCGATCGTTATTGAATTAGAATCGCTATCGGTGTAGTATATTTTAGTAGTTATAAAAAAAAAACACGTAGAATGAAAATAATAGCATTTATCAGGGAGGTAAAATTGATTTAAGTTAATCGAGAGGAAAAACGGTTGACAGTGAGTTAAATCTGTGGGAACGTTATACAGTAATACATATATGTAGATCTATATATAGAATACCCAAGTATGTAGGTGCGTTGGGATTGTCTGTATATCGAGTAGTTTAATGTGGTAATCCGTGGATGACCCGAAGGTAGTGCGCTCGGTGTTTGTATCCATAGTAATCCTGGGTTATGATATTGACAATTGTGTATTATGGAGTGATCCAATGGGACTGTTAACATAGTTTAACCATCCATATATTTGCTAATTTATACTTACACCAGCCAATGAATAATAAAAGTTCATCAGAGATTAATTTATTAATAATTGACAAAATTCAATGCGGACTGATTTGTCATCAAAAAATTCTATACGTCCATATCTGACCTGATATGGTAATATATGACCTTATATGGTTTATACTATACTTCATATGACTTAATATAGTCATATATGACCTAATATAGCTTTTTATGTCCATATATGATCAGATATGACCTTATACTAATTTTTAATGCGTCCTAATATCATTAAAGAGTCCATATGTGACCCAATATGGTTTCATTATAACTCATATGACTTAATGTAGCCATATATGACTTTGTATGTCCATATGTGACCTGATACACCCATATATGATTTAATATGCTCTTAAATTAATTTTAGATGGGTTTTAATATGGTTGAATAGTCCTTATCTGACCTTATAAGACTTGATATTTCCATATATGATCTTATATGACTTTATATTAATTTTTAGTGTGTCCTAATATCGTTTAATACTCCACATATGTGATGATATGGCTTTATATGGTCATATATGACTTTATATGTCTAAATTTAACCTGATATATCCATCTATGACCTAATATGCCATTATATGATCACATGTGACCTGATATGTCCATATATAACCTAATTTTGGTCATATATGACTTGTGATATGTCCATATATGACCTGATATGGTTTTATACGGTCACATGTGACTTTATATGTCTAAATTTAACCTGATATGGCCATATATGACTTAATATCGCTTTATATGATCACATGTGACCTGATATTTCCATATATGACCTAATTTAGGTCATATATGACCTGATATGGCTTTATTCGGTCACATGTGACCTGATAAGTTTATATGCAACTTTATATGGCTTCTTATGGTCATATATGACTTAATATGGCCTTATATGTGACCTTATATGGTCATATCTGACTTGATATGGTTGTATAGTAAAACAGACCATAAAAATCATTTTAAAAAATTTTTTTAATGAACTAAATTTTTCACTTGCTCTTGTAAGAATTTATTTTCTAATTAAATTGACTAAAAATGATTGCAGCAGCTCGATAAATAAATAAAATAAGTAGAAACGATTTGTTTACAGCTCCGAGAAAATTGTCTAGTGTCTAAGTTATAAGTAAGAGTAAAGAGCAAAAGAAAAAATAGCTCTGAAGACCAGCGGAGCTGTGAGACACGTGAAATATAACTCTGGCGTCCTCTAAAGCCCCGAGATCGCAATATACCGAGCCGAAAAATTTTTCAAACCTGATAAACTTTCGGAGTTTACTTTTGATCTTCGGTCCAAACTAAAACCCGTCTTACGCCGCTATTGTTATAAATTGCTCGTATTTTTCATTCAATCCTAGCTTAGAAAAATGCGAGAGCTATTTTTTATTTACACTGTATTTTCAATTTATTGATTTTTTAACAAGTATTTCAAGGTTGCAAAGTCAATTCATTAATAATTAACCAGACTTTATCTAGCGTAGGAAGAATTCTAAATTTAGAGTGACCTTTTTTCTGTGAATAAAACCACCCACCAGGATATCGCAAATTCATAAGAATGATGATTAAAATTTAAACACCAACAGCTAAAATTATTCCGTATCAATTGATTGTTCATTAACTTTTTGCTTCTCGTGTTCAATTATTTCTGGGAATTAAAAAAAAAGTTGTCTATCAAGTTTAAAAATTTGAAAATAAACTGTCCGCTTTTAACTTCCGTCTCACAATATGAATTAAATTGATCAAAAAAATTTATAATTAAAAAAAAATGATGAGGATTATTGTTAAGGATCCTGAGCAAAATATTAACAGTCGAATAAACATTCATCGAGCTTGACCTAATTCATTTGTATATGTAGGTACTTGATTACGCCGGATCTGTATCTAAATGCATAAATATTTGATCTACTTTAGTGAATAATACTCTCAGCGAATTCTATGATTGTGAAGCTTTAGCTCAAGCTTTTTTTTTTTTTTAATTAATATACTCTGAAATTAATAATAATAATTTTCTGTTGAATATTTTAAGAGTTATGGACATTTTTAGTGTGACAATAATGAGCGCTACTTAAGACACTGTATCTTCTAAAATACTGAAGATAGTCCTGTGGTATAGAAACGTTTTTTGTAGGAAATTTTATAAGCTACAACCTTGTATTTTTATTTTTTTTAAAATATCAATATTTCAGGAGTTACAGCCATTTTTTAAATGCCCGAAAAGATTTGATATTTGATTCAAAAATTTTCTTCTCAAACAATAATAATAATTTATTTAATTGTAAATAACAATGCTTGCATTCAAGCGTTATATATCATGAATCATGATATTTAAAGCGAGGTACATTTCGAGTGCGTTCATATCCGCGTGAATCCAAATTTAATATCCGGTTTAAAATATTTAATAAAACGGAATAAATGTTTGTGAATAAAATAAGAAAGTAAATTAATAAGTGATTTTTTTTTTATGTTTCAGGACAATCTCCGATTTGTCCTCGTCTAACCTTGACGGGTGAGTCAACAACTTTAAGTAATTTATAATCTGGTTAATCAATAACCAGATAATAATACACGTAGAAAGAGCAATTAGTCGAAGTATAAAGTAGGTCAGGTAATTTGAAATTTTACTGAATTAGTTCAAGTTTTGGTGTTTTCGGAGTTTTAGTTTTTTAGTTTAGAACCAATGTTATCCCAGAGTGTGGAGTATATATATATATAGTATATATAATACCATCTCACACACAATCCAGCACTTCTGGAGCTCTCCGTTTAGGTTGGCTGGGGCTCCACCGAATACCAATTTAATTCCTTATTCCTTTCGCGAAACTAATCCAGTTAATGCTGAGCAAACAGTCTTTCCTTCTTACTGTTAATATAAAGACTCTGTAACCCCGTAGATTATTATAAGCTGGCTACCCACATCTTTATCTTTTTCACTTTATATTATTTTTATTATCAACTATTTTAATTATTTTTTAATAATCTTCCACCTCATATTAAAAAAATTTTTTTCCCAATCATTTCAAATTTTGAGCGTAGTTATCAATTTTATTCAATTAAAAATCTACAAAGAATAACATACAATTATTTTATCAAAAAAATCTAGTATAAAACTTTATTAAATTTGATTAAAAAATGATTTTTATTTGAAAATACTCAATA